AAAGACCACTCTCCAATTCTTTGTAGTAACTTTAGCTTAACTATTCTGGACAACTTCTAAAAAAAAAAAAAAATCGAGCTACATCAGCATTCTTGTGATCGGACTCGCCCTAGTAAAATTGTGGTAAACATTCAAATTTTAGGTGTTATGCTTGTTTTTAAATATTTTAAGTTGTTTCATTGGATTCGTTGGCCCAAAATATGTATAGGTATAAATTTTCAGCTTCCAACACACATATAACAGAAACTAGGACCAAAACCATTTTTAAAAATGGTGGATTTTTGTTGGTTGGAGGCAAACATAAAATAGCTATATCTTAGGAACCGATTGAAATTAGACGATAAAATTTTCAGGATGTTCATAATTTACTAAAAGTGGTTTAAAAATCAGCAAAATCTGAGACTTAGGGTTGCATGCCCTGGATGTTTTCACATGGAATCTCCATGGAATCATCACATGGAATTACTGTTCCTAAGTACTCCAAAAACTCTTATTTGTCTAGTTTTTTTTCTCGAACATCAGTTCTACTATTTAATCTTTAATTCATGGGTCTGATCTTTTTACTTCTCTCTAGAATAGTACAGAGTAGAACTTTTTCTCTAATTTGATTTCTATCTAATGGCCATACTCTTCCTTTTATACCAGTTAAACAGATTAACTAATTGTTAAAAATCAAAACCACTCTGGCTTCCAGTGATAAATTTATTTTTGAAGGCAGTTTTTTTCCTTGTAAACCAAAATATGGTGTTGTAGAGTGTAATAGACAAAATAAAACATCAGGACTTTATGACAAAGTTTGACAGGAAAAAGTGGACTGCATCATGGAGCTGGAATAAAAAACCTGCTGAATAAATAATAATACTATTTGTGAATACAAGATGAACTAGGAGTACAAATGTAGTAATGGGAAAGAATTAAATGAATGGATCAACTCTGGCATTCTTGTGCCATATAATGAACTAGCATTGAGACCACTTAAAGTATTGATACTGCCAGAGATGATTCTATGAATAAAATGAGAGGGGTTGAATCCTAAAAAAGTACAGATTAGCTTCAGTCGGTTAAATTTACAAAATGAAAATTTAACCGACTGAATTGTGTTAAACTGCCAACTCAATTAGCAAAAAACCGACTATAACTTGAAAATTACCTTCTTTGGTGGGGTGTAACACTCCGGTAAAATTGACTCTGGATACCGCTTATGTGCGTTGTGCAAGAAAGCAAAGGCAAAAAAGTAGGTCCAGTGGGAAACTTCCCACTGGACCTGCCTTTTTAACAAATTTTTAAATTTTCACACAGCAAATGAAAAGAACCTGCATTATTAGAAAAAAATAAAAAATTGCAAACTGTTACAGGCCTTGTGATGAATAAAAACTGCACGGCGCATAAGCACGATGTGATTTTTGATGTCATTAAATTCTTTTTATTTGCTTTTCATATTTATTGACATTAATTGCACCAATTTACTTAAGTACCGCAAAACTACCTTAAATCATTAATGTAGAAATGTTATTATTTAAAAATGTTTTGGATTGTTTCGTTTTTTAAAATGTAAAAGCATTTGTTTATTTTCTTGACGTTTGACACGTTTTGTCTATACTAAACGAATAAAAAACATAACTAAACATTTAAAAAAGATTATAAAATATGCTAATATTTGATTTTTTTTTTTTTTTTCGAATATGTAATTTAAAGTTTTTTAAATAATTATTTTTTCTTTTTAAAAACTCAGTGAATAATAAACTGGAAATTTTAATATTGTACGATTAAAAACTGTGCAATAGCTACTATTTTTACTAGCGATTTTATATAATATTTTTTTATTTATTTATTTTTATTTATTTTCTTAAAGCGGTTGATAAGCACAATCACTCGTATTGCTAAAAAACTGTAACGAACGTTCTGAATAGATTTTTAATGTTTACAAGGAATTTTATTTTTGGTAAAATAAAATAAAATGTTAGAATAAAAATCTTATAGGTATAAAAGACATATTTCAGCAAAAAAATTATTTATAAAAATTATTATTAAAAGTTATTCGAAAAACTATTGACGTTCTATTTTTCAGCAGCTGTTCTTGAGCATGCTTCATAACTTTTAACAAAAAAGCAATCGTTATTATTTAAGTAATTTTTTTCGAGTTACTTTTTACAAAAATTTTAATAGCTGTTTTTTTTTATTGAATCAAGTAGAATACGTTTTAATATTAATCCTTTTAGATTTTTATTTGCATTACCAATTTTTAAAATATTTCCTCGAAGTTACTCTTAAATACTTTAAATACGTCTAACAGTTTATAAATATTTTTAAATCTATGGAATAATTTTAAAACCTAACAAACACCCGTAAAATAATTATTTAAGTTAAAAATCTAAAACTAAAAGAAAGTATTTTTGTTCAGTTTTATCGACAACTTTGCTATTGCTGAATAATTTTATTAAAATGTATAAAATCAACGCAAATAGCCCTAGTTACACGCATTTACATCGTCCGACGCTTTATCGCAAGGCCTGTTGTTATCTTAAAAAAGTATCCCTACAAAGTTATATTGATAAAAAAAAAGGTGATTACAAATGTGAAACAGTATTGTTTTACCAGAATGTATTTTGGCCTCAATGTAACTCCAAAAATAGTGATTACAATTCTTCACCATGTAATCAATGTAAATTCAAAAGTGAAAAAAGCATGTGATAACTACATTGATGATATATTTATTAATGAAAGTTGGAAACTGCGAAAACTGTAACAAAGCATCTATTTAAATTTGGATTACAATGTTAATCTTGCAAGAACGCAAGATCTTTGTTTTTAGGATTGAAAGTTGAAAGAAACAAAAATGAGCAGCTGATATGGTAATGTGACAATGTGGTACAATTTGAATCTTTTGATCTAGTCGCATAATCACAGCTATTCAGCCAGTTAGGTATGCTTATTGGACACTACCTGGTGGCAAGAAGTTTGCATTTACAAGCTTCATATGTTAAATATTTAGTTGAAAATATTCCTTTAATAATTCCTTCATAAGTGATTTTCTTTCTGAAGGTTGTAAAGAAAAACTGTAAAAGTTGCTACACCATGTAAAAAAGAGGACTTGATTGGTGGGACACAGCTGGTTCTAGTGAATGGAAAAACTGAGCTTTATTGCGATGCATCATTCATAGAACTTGGTGTAGTTCTGCTTATTGGAGGAATAGTTGTTGAATGTGCAGCATGGCTATGGCCAGTAAGTGATACACACCATAATAATATATGTGAACTGGATTCAATACTTCAAGGACTAAACTTAGCTAGTAAGTGGGACATAAAAGAACTTTATGTCCCACTTACTGGGATAGTTTAACGCAGTTTTGAAGGAAGAATATCGCATGAAAACTTAGGGAATTTCTCAATTATTAGTACAAAGACTTGTACTAATAATTGTTTGTAAATCTAATTCAGTCCTGGGTTAAACTTTTAAAAACTTAGATGTAAATGTGGTTAAAAAATTATATATAACACAAGCTAAATTGTTTAATAAATAAAAAAGTTAATTTTTTAATACCTATTTTATGTTTTGCGTAGTTTGAAAAGTTTAACATATTTGAAGCGATTCTTCTTAGTAAGATAAACAAATAAAATAATTAAATCATTGAATTACTATAGGAATTAAATTATCAAGATAGATATCAACTAAAAAGGTTAAAAATACTTAATGACCAGGAAGCGAAACTGCTTCACAATATCGCCGATAATGTTTAGTGAGTTTGTGTTTAGTAACTAGAAACTTCTTATATGTTTGTTACGTAATTAGTTTTATTAACTTTAATGATTATAACTTCATTGAAAACGCAATTATTTTTGTCTTTATTTTGTAATTATTAAGTCTTTATTTAAATCATAAAAATTGCTTTAAAAGATGCATTACGATAAAAAACAGATACACAAAATTACATTTACATAAAGATTACATACTTTTTAAATAAAAAATAAGAATATACTAATAAAATCTATAATTTATAATAAACTTTTAAAATTTTAACAATTTAATTAATATAAATTTAAAACATTTATTTTTGTAAACAAATAATATATATTCTTAAAACAATTCTAGAAATCTCAAAACGTTACAAATCGTGAATAATACAAATTCTAAAACATTTCAACAGAATACTCTAGAACTTTATTTCGCTTAATCAGCGTATTTTTTGAACCAATAGAATTAGTTTGTTCGTTAATTTGGCGGGTTTTTAGTGCTCGCAAATATTCTTTTTGTTCTTGCGCACAATGATGTTTTGGGAACATTCAAGTTTTTTATGTTTCCATGTATGTCCGTAAAACAAAAATTTTTTGTTTCATAAATAAACTTAAATGTTCTCAAAACGACTAAAAAACCTGGCCAGTTTTACGCAACTAAATATAATTTTGATCGCTCTCGAATACTGGTCAGTATTCGAGAGCGATCGCTCCCGCTTCCCGACCAAGCCTCAAAAGTATAGAGTTTTCATAATAAATGACAATATTAAAATAAAAAAGTAAATCATATCAAGCAAACACATATCGTCACTCAAAAATAATAAAATTTAAAAAATAATCTTTTTTCTTTCTTCAAAAACGGAGCAATTTTTATATTTTATCTTAATTCCTTTCCATTTTAGAATGTTTTTTTTTTTCTTTTAACTTTAATTTTTTGTCTTTCCTTTTTCTTTTCTAGTTTCTTTTTTCTTTTGTTAATTATCTATGTTTCGTTTTTTGATTTTTTTTAGTTTTTTCTTTTCTTTTTATCTTTCTTTTCTTCATTCTCTATATTTTTATTTATTTATTTTACTTATTTTATTCTTTTTTCTTTATCTTTTTTTTTTTTTTTTTCAAATTTATTTATAAAATTTGTTTTAAAAAAGCGTCCGCCATTCCGGAAGTCTTTGCATTGAAAAAAAAAAGTAAATATAATTGTATATACATATATAATGTAAATATAATGTAATAACAATGTAATGTAAATATAATTGATGTTTTTTTTTTAGGCATGATTTATACAAAAGTAGAGTATTGGAATTGAATGCATCAGATGAACGCGGTATACAGGTCAATTATTTTAAATTGTGAAACCAGTAGTTTTTGTTATTTCCCAGGGGTTGGTACTATTAAACACTAAATGGTTTTAATCTTTTTGTTTCAAATAGATTTGATCTTTTAACATTTGTGGTTACTTCTATATATTGGAGAACTTGAAAGCTCAAAACAAATTGTAAAAATACATAAGATTGAATTAATAAAATGGATTATTTCCAATGCTAATTACTATTTTATTTATTTCCGAATAAAAGAAATCTTTAAATTTAATTAGTCGCGGAGTTGCGAGCTAAAGCACAAGTGGCGATGTCGTTTGTCTGACAGGATAAACTAGTTATAAGTGCTGATCCTCATCGAAATGCAACTCTGATGAGATGTTTATTACTTAATCACTTTACTAATTTTGTTTTACACATTAGCATTAATGTTTTTTTTCTATTCTTAGGCCTTCCGTTTTTGTAATCAATTGTGTGACCATTCAGCAAATTTTATATGCCAAAGTTTTTAAATAAAATGAATAAGATTATTTCCTATGCTAATTACTACTTTATTTATTTTCAAATAAAATATCTAAATAAATTATTATCAAATAAAATATAAAATAATAAATCTTAAATTCAATAACCTGAAAGCAGTACAAAGTTTTTATATATTTTTATGTACAAGTTTTTATATACAAGGTACAAAGTATTTATATATGACATTATATTATCGGATTAACAAGAATATTTTAAGATTACCTGTTAGGGACCATTATGTAATGAATAATGTTAAAAGTAATATTTTCTGTTAGATGAATTAGTTTATGATATATAAGGTTTATTTTTTTATAATATATAGTCTTATGTTTAAAATTACATAACTATATAAAAAAATGTTTTTGTTTCACACTAGTAATAAGTTTGAAGTGTAAATGTTTTTTGTTTCACATTAGTAATCAGTTTGAGATGTAAATGTTTTTAATTTGACACTAGTAATAAGTCTGATGTTATGCATGTGTAGAAATCACAATAAGCAGAATTTGATTTATGCTGTTATGAAGTCTGATATTATGCTGTTATGATGTTATGAAATCGCAGAATTTGATTGAATTTGAAGCAGAATTTATATAAGACATAATTTTTTTGTTTTGCCTAATTTGGGTTTACTAAACCCATTTTAGTATGATTTGTGGCAAGGTTTAGTCAATAAAGATTTGTTTATAACAATTTAAAATTATTTTTATTTAGGTAATTCGAGAGAAAGTAAAAAATTTTGCCAGCCAGTCTGTTTCTTCTTTCAAAGTAGAGTAAGGACATTATCATATGTAGCTTTATATATCAAAGTCCTAATTAATCAACCAATTTATACTTAGTTTATATTTAATTTATAGTTAAATTGTATTTTGTTTGTGTAACTACCAGTTTGCAGTTCAAGTTAAATGAAGAAATAGCTTTTTAAAGTTTCACAAATTACTATTTGCTATTTGTTTAATGAAAACACTATTTGCTTGTGCTTGTGAGTGTGTGTGTGTGTGTGTCTGTGTGTGTGTGTGTGTGTGTGTGTGTGTGTGTGTGTGTGTGTGTGTGTGTGTGTGTGTGTGTGTGTGTGTGTGTGTGTGTGTGTGTGTGTGTGGTTTATTATCCACACACATTCAAGGAAAACTATTCAATTTTAGTTTAGATGTGTTTTCCAAACACTTATAATTTACTTGTCTGTACTTTTATTTTAGACTGATATGACATTTAATTTTTGAGATTAAATACATACTAATCATAGTTTTACTTAAAAATCTTCATTTTTTCATTTTTTGTAATAATTGAAAACATGTTTTGTTTTCTTCATAAAAGTTTTTGTAATAATTGAAAACATGTTGAAACTAAAACTTAAAAGAACTTTTTTTAAAAGTTCTTTATATAGTTTCTAAAACATTCATACTGCATTAGGCACAACTAATGTTACTGCATATATATTTTTTGAAAATCAAAGCGGAAATATTATGTAGTTAATAATTTTTTTACACGAAGGACCAGATTTCTAATAAATTTTTTTATTAAATTTGCATTTATAGACTAATGTTTGTCTCTCATATAACATTTCTGGATGAATTCATGGATTTACTTGAAACTATAGTATCAACAGGTTGCAAATACGTTATAGCGGGTGATATAAATATACACTTAGATACTAAAGAACTATTTAGCAAAAGCTTAAAAGAAATACTAGATGTACTAAATCTAACAAGACATGTCAAAGAACCAACTCATAAAATGGGACACATACTAGATCTAGTAATAAACAAGTCCGATGAAATATCAGTAGTTATGCTCGCTGTAACAGACTTAGAATTGAGTGATCATTTTCTCATCAATTTTAAAGTAGAACAAAAAATAGAAAAAAAATTATACTTAAAAATAGTGGTCATACAGTCCTCTAACAATTAAATATTAATAAATAAATCATAATCATCACTAGCTGAAAATATGAAAGACAAAATAACCATGTATAACCATATAATGAAAGAAATTGTGCAGAAACATACCCCTTTGAAAATAAAAAGAATAAAAATAATCAAAAAAGCTCCTTGGCTTGCCAGAGAATATATGCAACTTAGGCAAAAACAAAGAAAAGCAGAAAAATTGTTTAGGAGAACAAGAAATGAAAGTGACAAAAAAGAATATAGACGCCTCATGAAAAAAACAACAATAATTGCTTATATAAAAAAAGAAACATATTTCTCTAACCTATTAAATTAAAACACTACAAATAAAAATCTATTCTCATTAATAAACAAGCTACTAGATAAAACTCAAGAATATGTACTACCAACAGCCGATTCAGACGAAAAACTAGCTAACAACTTAGATAATTATTTTACTGAAAAAAATCAGAAAACTCAGGTCTGGTTTTCAAATATCCCAAACAAAGAAAAATGCAGCAGATTATAATGAGCACTTTTTAAGAAATTTTAAACCAACGACATTTGAAGAAATTTACAAAATCACTATGTCATTTGGAGTAAAATGTGCTCCTGATGATCCGATTTCAGCATATCTACTACGGAATAATTTACAAATATTTAAATATATATATTTTATAATAGTAAACCTATCGCTAGAATCAAGCAGCATGGATTGTCTTAAAAATGCTACATTACTCCCAATAATAAAGAAGTCAGACTCTGCTACAGATACTGAAGACTTCAAAAACTGCAGTCCAGTTTCTAATTTAGTATTCATTAGCAAGCTAATAGAAAGAGTAGTCTCCAATTGTCTTGATTCCCACATGACAACAAACAATCCTTATATAAAACATCAATATGGATACAAAAAACATCACTCAACTGAAACACTTTTATTTAATCTTACCAATGATATATTTGAACTCTTTGATAAACATGCACCTTTAGTACTAATGTTACTTGATCTAAGTGCTGCCTTCGACACTATTGTTCAGCAAAAACTACTAGGACTATTAACCAGTAAAATAGGTATAATTAACTCAGCTCACAAGTGGTTTAAATCATTTTTAGTAAACCGTACTCAAAAAGTTAAAATTGATAACTCATATTCTATGAACCAAAACTCTTTAATATCTATGAGACCATTACACAATAGGGGTGGAGAAATGTTATAAAAAGTATTTTAAAAATAATTTTAACCGTGACAGATTCAAAAACCTTGAAATGATAAAATTTATCAAAAATGAAGTTATTAAGTCAAGTTGCAGAACGATTGAAAAGTCTTGTTTTTAAATGGAATGACTTTTATAAACTAAAATATTAATTAAAAAAAGAAAGTAACAAATTTACATAGGGATATAAATACCTTACAAACAGTTCTGTGGCTAGAGGGTCAGAGTTCCCTCCCTCCAACTTGTCATAAGGGCATTAAAATCTCAAAAACCTTCCATTACTAGGTTTATTACTAAAAAAAAAATCTTTACATTTAGAAAAGGACCCTTAAATTTGAAAAATGCCCCCAAATTCGCAGGTCCTGCAAATTGTCTACCATGGCTAGCCTCCATGCTTACAAACTACGCATAAAAATTTATGTAACTTGGGGTAAAGAAAATGTTTGTCGAATTCTAAATTTTTAGTTTAAGTCTTTTAATCTTGGAAGTTAATATAGTTCAAATAATAAATTATTTTATTTCAATAACACACAGGCAGATTAAAGTTTATTACAATGTTTCGGCAATTTGGCCTCTAAGTTGATCAGATAGTTCCAAATATCACAGTTTCTTTCCAAACATTCCAGGCAATTACCACTTAATGCCAATTTTAACTTTGTTTTATTGTCAACATTTCTTCTGCAAGAGAATTACCCAGTAATCTACAATAAAATTGCACACCTCTATTATTGATTCTTTTTTTGTCTGAGTCAAAAGCATATATTTCAAGCAAAAGATAACTCTTGAATTCCATCATGCATTTGAAATAAACCCTGGTTTAGAAAAATGAATCACAGGTAAATTCATTGTCTTGATAAGACTTGTATCTTTTACATAACAAATCCAGCTCAGATAATCATTACTGCCATATTTTTTACTTTTAATAACTGGCCTGTTAGGCTTGTATTTTTCAATTAAATCATTGTAGTTACTAATAAACTCATTAATAAGCCAGTAGTTAATATTAGGCAATGTTGACAAGGAATCAAACTTTAAGTTCATAAAATGCTTAAGAATCAGGTTGAAAACATGAAGTCAAAAAAGATGCTACACAAAACCTACAATAATTTTTGTCAAACGCTTAATTATTCCATTTATAGAACCTGTATTTACTGCAGTGGTGTCACATATTACAACAGAAATTTTATTTAATAAATTAAATTCCAAAATAATATTGTATGTTATAAACATGTTATTTTTAACATGTTATAAATATTTTCAAAAAGTTCACCAAAGTTTTTGACTTGCTTGAAATGCAATTGCTAATGTTGTTTGTCTATGTTCTTACCAATGTAAATAAAATAATGTTGTTTGTCTATGTTCTTACCATCAAAATGTAAGCACCACATTTCTTCAGAAAAGTCTATATAAGACCAAACCAAGCTTAATTCATGTACAAGTGTTGTAAATACTTTTTGGACTGCCGATCTACAAATCGATGTCTCACCAACAGCATTGAGTTCAGCTTCTGCAATCTTTGCTGTACAACTTATTGGATACTCTTCATTTTCAGATATTTTAGCTACCATTTTACCGGTTATCTTTGCACGTTTCAATGGGATTGTGTAATTATCATTTGTCTATTATCTTCTGAACTTTCATTACTAGAATTTTCTGTATCATCAAACAATTAACTATAATTTGTTTCAAGTTCTTTTCTTTTAGTGGCAGGTCTCACGGATGTGTTGTTATAGGCTCTGTCACAATCTTTGTACCCATCAAATTCTGAAGTTCATCAAAAAGTTGTCCAAAGAAAAACATAGTATTGTCATTTTATTCCATAATTGACAAACTTCAATTGAGATTTCTTTAATAACATCACTTGATCTTGGAATGTTACCCAATTCTAAAAAGAATTCTTAATTCAAAACTAGAATAGAAAATCATGTAAATGACCAGGAGTTTAGCAAATTGCAATGGCTGAAAATTAGAGAGAGAATATATTTCAATTTCCTTTTAATAATGCACAAATCTATTATACTGGAAGCACCAACGTCATTATGCAATTTAATTCACTACTCAATGTCAGAAAGAACACTAAAATAAAAACACTAAAAGCAATTGTTTTGGTAATCATTATCCCACTATGGTCCTAAACTTTGGAATATACTTCAAAATAACATCCATGACAAAAAAAACACAACTATTTATAAGAAAAAACTAAAATCTTATTTAATTTTGAATTGTGAACTATTCCACCAGAAAACTCTTGAATGTTAAATTGAAATCTCTTGAACATTAATATTAAAAAAAAATTTTTTTACTTATATAATAATTTGTTGCACAGCTAAGCAAGTGTTTTATCCACTATTCTGGAAAAAGTTAGCTGTGGCTAAACATATGTGTTTACTATTTATTTATTTATATAATGTTTTTATATTTTTATATATTAAAGTTCTATATAGAACTTACTAGCATATAGCATCTCGGTGTTGTGTATGTTTGTTTATTTCACTTAAAATTGTTTAAAATTTTGTTTTTATAAATTATAAACTATATTTGGTTTAAGGTGTTTTAACTCAAGAAAATTTCAATTTTGTAGCTTTTATATGCTTTGCAAATTTAGAGAAAAATTTAACCTTCCAAAAAAACTGAATATTAAAAACACATTTTAAAATTTTTTAATAAAAACACCTTTTTTTCATATTGTAATGCATTTTATATATTAGAGTAGTATTTTTCACAGTTTGACTTTTTAAACTGAGGGTTGTAGGTCAAATATCTTTATCAGGTGACATTTTAACAGATAATCTTTTGTGATCCAGTTGATAAAAGTTGGGCTTTATTTTATATTTATCAATCTGAATGGGTGCGCTAGTAGACTATTTATATTCACTATATGAGTATATTAACTTTTTCTTTTAAAAAATAAGAAGAGGATAATTATAAAAAAGATTTTTTTTAAAGTTTAGAAAGGAAATGTTTATAAATTAATTGTAGGAAGCGTATATATAGTTTTATAAATTTTGTTATTTTTAGTATTAAAAACTAATTTTCAAGTTATAATTTTGTTAATATTAAAAAGTTGGTTTATACATAGGCAAACTTTTCACCCTAGAACTCTCATTAGCATGTTAATGTGAGAGCTCTGGAATACATTTTTTTTGTGAGAGATCTGGAATCCTTTGAATCTATTACTTTGATCTTAGATTTTTGATCTCTAATAAAATATCCTTAGTTTTTAATTTAGGTTTGTTGTGGTTTTTAATTTAAAATAATGAAAATCACTAAATCTTTTGGGTTTTTTTTTTTTTTTTTTTTTTTTTTTTTGATCTCTAAAAAAGTATAAACTTATTATTTATATATATTATTATTTAATAATATTAAATGTAAATAATTTTAATTTGTTTTCTGTTCTTAATTAACATCTTTTGATTTTTTTTCAAAACAAGTTTCTTGTTTTAAAATGTAAAAATAAATGAAAATCTGTTGCACAGTAAAACTGATATTCACAATATTTGTAAGTAATGTATCGTGAAAATGTTTTGTGTTTTTAATTCGAACTCTACCTCTTAATATCCTGTAATTTTTTTCAAAATTCAGAAGTTTCTAATAATTTTTTCAACTTCAGAGGTTATATAAATAAAAGGAGTTTTGAAACTTCAACTAAGTCTTTTAGGAATTTTTCATCTCTTTATATCTTTTTTCAATTTTATTTAATATATAGAAGTTTTTTTTTTTTTTTTCAATTTAATATAATATATAGAAATTATTTTTTCAATTCAATTTAATATATAGAAATTATTTTTACTCAATAATTATTATTTTGTTCTTAGTGGTACACCTTGTCCTCCTTTCAAAGTTGTGATTCTTGATGAAGCAGACTCAATGACAACAAGTGCTCAAGTAGTTTATCATTACTTTACCTTAAATAAAAACCATTAAATTAAGAGTTAAAAACTAAATTAAATTAAGAAAAAAAGATAATTATTTAATAAATCATTTGGAGAATATAAATTGAAATAAAACCTAATGAACCATTAAAAATTTCCAAATTTTTTCAAATCAAATATTAATGTCTATTAATTTAACATCCTTATGTTTTTCTCTCATAACTTTATGTTTATCATTATCTTTATGTTTTTATTCATTTCATAATTAGGCAGCTTTAAGACGTACCATGGAGCGTCAAACAAAAACAACAAGATTTTGTCTAATCTGCAACTACGTCAGTCGGTAATGTTTTCCATTTTTGTTTCCATCTCAATCGGAACGTTTTTTTCATGTTATCTGTAATGTAAATATATTAGTTGGTATGTTTTTCATGTTTAACATTTTTATTAAACAAGAATAAAAAAATAAATGTTTTATTTTATATACATATAATCTTTATTATACAGTATTGTGAAAAATTTAAGAACCACCAAAAAACAAATCATAATTTTTTTGTATTTTTAAGTTTTTATTTAATCAAATATATTTTTCTGGTAAAAAAATAATAATTTATTTTAGAAAATAGACAAACAAAATAAAAAATAATAATAATGACAAAGTTTTATGGGTAATTAAAAATAGTTATTTTTACCTTATACTGTGTAATTCTACCATGAATTTTTAAGCACTCATTTAAATGATTTGGCATTAATAATTTCTTTAAAATATGTTTGGGAACATTTCCAAGTATTGTTGTTAAAGTATTGTGCAACTCCTCAAGGCTTCTTAGTGCTTTCTTGGAAATCTCTTTATCAAGCCAACTCCAAAGATTTTCATTTCAATTTAGATCTGGGCTATTTTAATGGCCAAGTTGGACGCTCAATATTTTTGCTTTCGAACCATTCAGAGACAATTTTAGTCCTGCGACATAATGCATTGTCTTGCTTAAAAATGAACGGAACACTTTGCTTAAGTGTATCAATTGATGGTAACAAGTTGATATTTAAAATATTGACATAATAAATAAAGTTAAGTCAACCATTAAATAGTTTAACCGAGAGCATAATATGTCATGCAGCACTATATTCCAACCAATCCATTACCTCGTTTTGTTCTTTGAACAATGCAATCAAGATTATATTTTTGTGAAGACTGCCTGCAAATCATAATTTGGTTTTTTTGGTTATCAACTTCGATATTCATCTCATCACTGAACATTACTGTTCTCCATTTTTAAAATAAATTAAAAAAAGACATTTCTGTCGCATTTTTCAAAAAAAAAATTTTGTGATTCTTAACTTTTTCACACAAAAAAATATTAAAAAAAAGTAACAACTATTATTTAAAAAATAAATATCTTTTTTCTTATGGTTTATTTAATATTTGAAAAATTTTTATTATCTTTAGATAATAAAAATTTTTTTAATAGTCATTTATTTTAAATAAAAGGTTAAAAAATTAGTTAAAGTTTATACAGATTTTTATTTTCCAAGTTTCCATTTAAAGTTTCATTTTTAAATTGGTCATGTTTTTGGATGATTTTAAAAATATTTGCATAATTACAGGGATTATCTTTTTCCAGTTATTTATGGAATTTCAGATATTTTTCTCAATTTTTAGTTTTCCCAGATATACAAAGCGTTTATCATAATTACAAGTTTAGATATAAATTTTTGTTAAAAACTATATATATATATATATATATATATATATATATATATATATATATATATATATATATATATATATATATATATATATATATATATATATATATATATATACATATATATATAATTTTTTTTCACACTCAAACAAAGTTCAAAAAAGTTTGAAAAAAAAAGTTAGAATTAACTCAACTCTAAGCAAAATAAAGAGGAAAATAAAGAAAAATATATTTCAGAGTTTTTTCCAATATTTTAATTAAACAGTTTTCCGGATTTTCAAAATATAGTATGCATGATCTTTGTATTTTTTACTTTAAGTTATAAAAATTAATTTTAAGTGTTTTCCTTTAAAAATTTAAAATTTTAAGGTCAGAATCTTCAAGTTCAAAAACTAAAATTTATATTTAATCTATATTTTGATGATTTTTCCTAGAATTATAGAACCAATAACATCGCGCTGTGCAAAATTTCGTTTCAAAGAGTTATCATCAAATGCAATTTATGAACAATTAAAATATATTTCACGTATGGAGGCAGTTAAAATTGAAGAAGAGGTTTATTAATTATAATTTATGTTTAATTTTATTAGATATTCCATTTTTTTCTTTTTTAGTTTTCATAACTTTTTAAAAAATTATTATTTAAATTTTCATAACTAAATTTTTATTTAATTTTCAACAGTTTTAATACTAAATTATATTAAAATTATCATAACATGATGTTGTCTACATTCCTATTTTTGAATTATTCAGGGGTGTGGAGTCGTAAAAAAAAAGTAACGACTTCAACTTCAGTTGTTGAAATTTTTTGAGTACAACCCTGATTCCAAATCCGACTCCTACTCCAACTCCAAAGCAAAATTTTTGAAAAATTCTTTGAATTATTTAAAAAATATTGTGCGATAAGTTGAAATTTTTTTTTTGACAAATTTATGAAACATTTTTTGAGGTTTAGTATGAACATAATGTTAATTGAATGTTTTGTATATGCACGTGCAATACCAAGAAATTTTACTATCGGAGTTGGAGTCGCAATATTTTTTAGCAACTCCGACTCCGCTAAAATTGTCGCGACTCCGACTCCACAGCCCTGAAATTATTAATGAATAGCAACCAGTTCATCTTCTTGGAGTATCATTTACTACTGATTTCTCATAAAACCATAAATACAACTTATTACAAGGTTAGCATTTGCTAAATTTGCTTTTCATTATTATATGCTCTTTTTTTTTTTTTCATTATTATATGTTTATCAGTGCTCGCCATTATTTTACTTCTGATTCCATTCTCTGTAAATTGTTGTCAACACCTCTGCAAATTTCAGTTGTCATATTTGGGTTCTTCTGATGATGCTTATTTTCTTCTAAAAATAAATAGCTAAAAAAAATGGAATCGTTCTACTTGCCAAGCATGAGCCACTCTTCCTTTGTTGTATGGTTGCATCTCTTTCTACGAATAAGATCATGGTTGCTTATCTCTAGTTTCATCTACCAGAATTTATCATCTCTAGTTCTATCTACCAAAACTCATTCTTGCTTGACCACACTTCAATGCTTTATAACTTCTATTTCTATGTTTTTCTAATGCAACCTTTAACTTTTTAAGTCTTCTGTCAGTTGTTTCCTTGCTCTCAAACATTATTCATTGTTTTCTTGTAATTCTAAACTTAATAGTGGTTTCTTGCAGTCTTGTTGGTAGTGAATTAGTATAAAAAATTAATTTGTTTTAAAAAAGACATGCTAAATGTTTCTTTTTTTCTCAACATTATACCTTAGAGGTAATAAATAATAATTAATGCTCAACAGTATAATTCAATAAAAAGCAGAGTAAAAATAATTCTTTAAATTTATAGCAAAATCAATTAATCAAAATAGTTAAATCCTTCTTCTTATAACTTCGGAAAATGCTAATAAAGGCCTTACTTTTTAATTATCAAAGGTTGGGCGCATTATTGGAAACCAGTGCCCTTCCCCCCCCCCCCCTAAACTGCCTAATAGCACATTCAATGGGTGCAACTGATTATAAATAGTTTCTTAAAAAAATAAAAGATATGGTTTATTGCCCCTTTGCTGATCTATTTTTTAACCTGGGTAGGGGCACAAATAAAGGGGCAATAACTAGTTAAAACCCAGAAATTAATTCAGATTTTTTGTTTAGTAAATTTTCTTGGTCCAAATGAGTAGTAATTTCAAATTTTTCTTGTGAACATAGTATTCATTTTTTGGAAATGTTGTTATAGGCAGGTACAGTTTTTAGAATAGACCAGTTTAATCTAAAGTTAATGTTTTTTTCCTTTTAGTTGCCAAATATATTTTGATAGCATAGTCTTTTGAGTATTTTTTATGTTTAAAAGATTGTTTGTGGTTAGCATAACGTTTTTTCTATTCGCCCTCGGTTAAGCCAATATTTTTTCATGTTTTGCGAGGAAACAATGCATTTGTTAATAATATTTTTTAATAATCATTTGACATTCATAGGGCACTTAATTTTTTGTTTGCAATTACAATTTTAAGTATTTTTTTTTTAGAAATTCATTTTTATTAATCAATACAAAATTATGGCCTTTTATAATTCTTTAACCATTTTTTGTACAGCTATAGCTTACTTTAATAGTGTTTCTGTTAATTTTGTGCAATTTATTAGAGGAAGGGAAATCTTTGTCAATTAATTTTAAAAATACTTTTCTAATATTTATTGAAACATTTTTGCTGTATGGAGGATACCAAATTATATTTCTATTCTCAGAACCAAATTATATTTCTATTTCACTTTTTTGCATTTTTTTTTTTTTTTTTCAAATTTTAGCTCAAAAAATTATAAATCCGCTTTTTAGTTAATTAAAAATTAAACAAAGTAAATAATATTATTCAAAAAAAATTAAATTTGCTACAGTGGAAAAACATTACTGATGTTATAAATTGGTTTTTTAAAATTACTAATAGAAATGAATGCACATTCATAAAATTTGATATTAATGATTTTTAACCCTCAATTACAGCAAAAATTTTAGATAAAATAATAGAATTTGGAAAAATTCACACTGAAATTACAGACAACATTCGTCTAATTAAACATTGCATAAAAACTTTACTCTAATAACAAGAGAAAGGAAAAAACCACACACAAATCCTTTGATGTAACAATGAGAAGTTATGTCGGAGCAAAAATTTGCAAATTTATAGGCTTATATATTTTAAACTCCTATGCTAAAATAATTCCTTTTAATCAATTAGGCTTGTATCGCAATGATAGTTTAATAATAATGCAAAATAAATCAGGGCCTCAAGTTAACATAATCAGAAAAAACATAAAAATTTTAAAAAACATTGGCTTCCAAATTGAAACAAACATTAATTTAAAAATTGTTAATTTTCTTGATGTCACATTTAACCTTTCAGAAAATCCTTATAGGCCTTCTGATCATGGTGGCGGCATGGTTACTGCTCAATTGGTTATTTCTTTTTTATTGGTCAACAAAGTTTATTATTTGTTTAATTGTCATTTTTTGAAGTTATTATAAAGACACCCTTTGCTCATTTTTTCAAGTTAAGACACTGGTTTATAGACTGCAAAACAAGATTACAAAACCTTTTTTTCACCAAATTTCAAATTCCAAAGCATTCAAGATTTTGTTTTATAAATTATATTTTGTTTTCACTACTTTTGTTTTGCTTAAGATGTCTTTTCATAAATTTATTTTACTTTTTCAGTTATTTAATCAATATTTTATGTTTTTTAAATAGTCATGATATTGTTTTTTTTTGTAATTTAAATAGTCATGATATTGTTTAGGCTTTGGAACAGCTAATTGAATCTTCAGATGGAGATATGCGAAAGGTAAGAATTGTAAATAAAATAGACATAAAAAAATAACAAAGAAAAATCTCATTGACTCATATCCTTAAGAACAGATATATAATCTAATTTGACTTATTTAGTCATATTATGTGAAGTTCTTACTACGTTGGAATTGACTCAAGGTTAGTACCCAAAAATCCAAATCCCAAACCATAAACCCACCTAAAAAAAATTTAGTCTCAAATTTTTTATTTTTTATTTTTTTATTCATAAATTAAGTTCCATCTAATATTCCAATTAATAGTTATTAAAATTTCAATTAATAATAAGAATTAATACTCAAGATGCTGTTTAACAATTCAATGGTGAATGCAGAAATCTAAATCAAAAAAATGTGAAAATTGTTTTTGATGAAAAGAAACTAAGAAAGCGTAAGAAAGATTTGTATATATTACATGACTAGTCTTGCCATGTACTTACAACATTTCAAGCATGTGCTGTGTTTTTACCTGTCCAAACAGCTGCTCTTGTCAGTTTTTGTTTTGTTGATTGTTTTCAACAAAAATGTGAGTTCCACAAACAGTGAGAACGATAATGAAATAAGGTGAAGATGAGAAATGAAGAATTATATGTATAATTATATGAATATTTATGTGCAATTAGAACTTCTAAATTTGAGTCAATTTTAATTAAAAGACAAATAAGACATTTTCTTACAACTGATTCAAAAACACGCTATTAAGCACCATATGCTTTGTTCTGAACAACCTTGAGAAACAGTAGCCAGTTTCAATTATTTCTTGCTATATAGAGGAGAAAGGAAAAAGGTATGCAAGAAAGCCTTTATTTCATTTTACAGCATTACTGAGGGCAGGGTTTGAAGGCTTAAAGAACTCCTGATTAATGTATAAATAAATCACCTAAAGATAAAAAATGCCCATTTATTTTAGAATTTTGTTTTAAAATATATGAGCATATTTCCTTATTCCCCACCAAGATTATCCATTGTGATAAAAAAGATATCAGTTTTTTTGTCCAACTCATAAAAAAATGCATTCTTTGTTAAAAAAAAGTACCCTGATTTGGATGTAAAGTATGTGTTTCATCTTTTTATCAAAACAACTTTTCATGGTTTGGGCATCCACAGGTAGATGCATGAATTGTGAAGAACTTGATGTAAAAGTCAAGAGCTTCTCTATTAGTGATGCAGCAAAGGACGGCTCTTAGTAAACTCACTGTTTACAAACATTTTACAATAAACTCTAAAGTGTCACCTATTTATGTGCAGAATACGAAAACACAGTCACACTTCTGTCTGATTTTATGCAAAATCTCCCCCTTCCAGTGATCTCATTTCAGGATATTGTTACTTAAAGCAACAATAGATTTAATTGTTTTGGGATAAAAAAAACTGAAAAGCTAAAATATTTCTGTAGCCCACAAAAGAGTCAATGATATATGCAGCATGCCTTTGAAATAGATTGACACTTATATTCCTTCAAATGTAAAAAACCTGTACCTCTTGACTGATTGCACCTGCTTAAAGAATTGGATATAAGATTACAGATACATGATGTTTTGAACAAGTTTTTTATTACTTTTTAGTTCATAATAAATCTTTTTCTGTCTTTAAAAACTAGTTGAGTGCAGAAGCAGATGAATTCCTAATCATATTTTCTATTTTTCTAAGCCTAACTAATGTTAAAGGTATTTTTTTAGACTTTTGCAACACAAATATATGTTATGACAGAGGAAAAAAAGTTCAAATATTTACTATTTGGAGGAGTTATGTTTTTTCTCTCTACTGAAAAATTTGAAATTTGTGATTTAATTGTTTTTTGCACTTGCCAATTGTTCTAATGACAATAATTATATGGAGTTTGGTGTTATTTTTTTTTTATTGGAACAGTTTTCACTCAAACTTGAAAATTCAAAACAAAGTCATCAACACTTGTACATCTTGATCTTAAATGTTCATATGTTTATGTAGTTTCAGCCTTTTTTCAACTAATTTCAATATGGAGAATATTGAAGAGAAGAAAAATCTCTCAATGGATCCAGAACTAACAGAAAAAGTGTGCAACTGCCATAACAACGATTCAAAATTTGAAAAACTTTTTATTCCACCAATTTGTTGCAAATGTTGTGCTATCATTAAAAAATTAAGTTGAAAAACAAACCACCATCCATCTAGGCATTTTTCACCACTATCCATCTAGACATTTTTCACCACTATCCATCTATGCATTTTTCACCACCATCCATCTAGGCATTTTTCACCACCATCCATCTATGCATTTTTCACCACCATCCATCTATGCCTTTTTCACCACCATCCATCTATGCATTTTTCAGGTCTTGAGTTTTCCTTTAGCAATCTTCAACATTTCTTTGACATTTTTCAATAAATATAGTTTAACAAAAGCTATGTGTAAAAATGTTTGTTGAATCATATTTGATGTTTATTTAAATTTCAAACATGTTTTGAATCATTATTAACCAAGGTACAGCTTAGGGTGATGATTTTATACTAAGTTGATAAAGAAAGTTAATAAAATTATTATATACAGATTTTTAGTTCTATAAGAATTAAAAATCTGTCAGAATTATTAATAATTCAACTCATCAAGGATCTAACTTTGTTCAGGGTTTGGAATAATAACACTTATAACTCAGTTTAAATATTTTAAACCATTTGTTTGTTAACATTGATTTATATATAAAAAACATATAATTTATATAGTTACCAATGGAAAGAAATAATGTATCCACTGGGAAAATTTATTCTATAATATACTTTCCAAGGTGAAAATATGTACCAGAACATAACCCAAAACATGGAGAGGTCATCTGTCACACAACATCTGTTATTAATAATATGTTATAAATATTTATAATTTATATATTAACATATTTGTCAACATTGATTTAGGCAATCACATATTTACAAAGTGCTCATCGTCTAAAATTAGGAGAAATAATTTTGGCTAATGATATTTTTGAAATGACTGGTGTAAGTGTTTTTATTTTTTAATTTTAATTACTATTAATTCTAAATAATTCTCAAGCTTTCAAAATTATTTTACAATAGAAATTAAAATGACACAATGACAAAAAACAGAATGGGTAATAATAACTGTTAATTCAATTATTAATTCAATTTTTTTAATGTTAAAAACAATTTTGTTGATAGAAAGTTCCTAAAACTATGGTTGCTGATATAATGAAAGCATGTTCTTCTGGATCTTTTGAAAAACTTGATAAACAAGTTAAGGTATTAGTAAATACGTTTAAATTATTGAATTGCCTTTTTAATAACAATTTATTTAATTTTTTTTTTCTCATTTTAAGTTAATGATGACTGGTGGATATTCTGCATCTCAGCTTATTACCCAGGTATACTTCTTACATGTATATCTGTTGTTACCTTTTAATACCCTGCTATGTTATAACCTTTAATGCAGGTAGTCTGTTGATAGTCTTTATTCTTTCTTTTTTGGCCTTGCTTTTAAAGCTCAAGGCCACTGAATTGACTATATAGGCTTTGATAGGTGGCTATGGAACTCATGTTAGCTTGAAAAATAATTTCAAAAATATAATTATAAAGTTTTGGGTTTTTCACAAACAGATAAATTTAAATCAAACTAGCTATATGAAGTAAGTGGAAGTTTTTCTAGTTTTGTTTAACTTTAATAAAACAATTAAAAATTTATTCATCAGAGTTCATTATTAAAGACTTAATTTTATATAATAATTTTACTCAGTCATTATTAGATATTTATTAATTTTACTCAGTTATTAATAGATATTTATTTATTTTACTCAGTTATTAATAGGTATTTATTAATTTTACTCAGTTATTAATAGATATTTATTAATTTTACTCAGTTATTAATAGATATTTATTAATTTTACTCAGTTATTAATAGATATTTATTAATTTTACTCAGTTATTAATAGATATTTATTTATTTTACTCAGTTATTAATAGGTATTTATTAATTTTACTCAGTTATTAATAGATATTTATTAATTTTACTCAGTTATTAATAGATATTTATTAATTTTACTCAGTTATTAATAGATATTTATTAATTTTACTCAGTTATTAATAGATATTTATTAATTTTACTCAGTTATTAATAGATATTTATTAATTTTACTCAGTTATTAATAGATATTTATTAATTTTACTCAGTTATTAATAGATATTTATTAATTTTACTCAGTTATTAATAGATATTTATTAATTTTACTCAGTTATTAATAGATATTTATTAATTTTACTCAGTTATTAATAGGTATTTATTAATTTTACTCAGTTATTAATAGATATTTATTAATTTTACTCAGTTATTAATAGATATTTATTAATTTTACTCAGTTATTAATAGATATTTATTAATTTTACTCAGTTATTAATAGATATTTATTTATTTTACTCAGTTATTAATAGGTATTTATTAATTTTACTCAGTTATTAATAGATATTAATTAATTTTACTCAGTTATTAATAGATATTTATTAATTTTACTCAGTTATTAATAGATATTTATTAATTTTACTCAGTTATTAATAGATATTTATTAATTTTACTCAGTTATTAATAGATATTTATTAATTTTACTCAGTTATTAATAGATATTTATTTATTTTACTCAGTTATTAATAGGTATTTATTAATTTTACTCAGTTATTAATAGATATTTATTAATTTTACTCAGTTATTAATAGATATTTATTAATTTTACTCAGTTATTAATAGATATTTATTTATTTTACTCAGTTATTAATAGATATTTATTAATTTTACTCAGTTATTAATAGATATTTATTAATTTTACTCAGTTATTAATAGATATTAATTAATTTTACTCAGTTATTAATAGATATTTATTAATTTTACTCAGTTATTAATAGATATTTATTTATTTTACTCAGTTATTAATAGGTATTTATTAATTTTACTCAGTTATTAATAGATATTTATTAATTTTACTCAGTTATTAATAGATATTTATTAATTTTACTCAGTTATTAATAGATATTTATTTATTTTACTCAGTTATTAATAGATATTTATTAATTTTACTCAGTTATTAATAGATATTTATTAATTTTACTCAGTTATTAATAGATATTAATTAATTTTACTCAGTTATTAATAGATATTTATTAATTTTACTCAGTTATTAATAGATATTTATTAATTTTACTCAGTTATTAATAGATATTTATTAATTTTACTCAGTTATTAATAGATATTTATTTATTTTACTCAGTTATTAATAGATATTTATTAATTTTACTCAGTTATTAATAGATATTAATTAATTTTACTCAGTTATTAATAGATATTTATTAATTTTACTCAGTTATTAATAGATATTAATTGTTATACAAAAGTAATGATAATGAGATAAAGCTGAATGAAGTTAAATAAAATTGATATTTTAGTTTTTGCATCTTTTTGTTCTTTTTTCATCATTTTTCACAATATATCCTTTACACAATATATTTTCATAACATATCCTTTATACAGTAAAGGGCACTATATACATTATAGGGTTTATGTTATGTATATTATGTATACAACATATGTTTCAAAACTGGTTAATTAACATGTATAGAATGATATAGAAATTTAGAATGATATAGAAATTTTACAATAATGTTTTTGCTGTCACCAATAAAATATTAGGATTGACCAGACTAGTTCTTAGATCAATATCGGGTAATATGTTGAAATATATCCATAATATTTTTAACTATGTTGAAAAGTATCCATAATATTTTTAGGCATTTTAGAAAATTATGGAGTTTTTGAATAGTTCAAAAATGAGTTATTGAGCTTGTAGCTGAACAATTTTTCAAACAAGGTTATCTAGGTTACTGATAAAAAGATTATCTAATAGTCCTGCAAACTGAAAGCCTGTGTGATAAAAAGTAGTCAAGTCACTTAAAAGTTATACTTTTAAGTGACTTGACTACTTTTTAAATGTAATTAGATATTTAAACATATCTACTAAGTTTCAATTTTTTCGTATTTTATTTAATTACTGTTGATTTAAGCATTATGTGTCTTCTATCACACAATAATAATTTTATTTGTAAATAACCTGATTTTAAATTACAAATCCTAATAAGTTTCTTTTAAATATAAATAAAAAATAACTTTAAATTATTGTTATATAATTACTAAATTAAAAATAAAAGTAAATAATTGTCTAATAAACAGTAATCAATTTTATTTTTTATATTAATTTAATAATAGGCAATGTCTAATAAAAATTTATTTCTGTGTTTCAAATTATAAAACTAAACTTTGTTTAAGTAATTTTTTTAATTTAAAATCAATTTTTTTAAGTTAAAGTTTTTTCTTTTATGCAGCATTTTATTATTTTAATTTTTTTAAATTTATTATTTTACTGTTTTATGCAACACACTGTATATTAATTGAACTGAAAAGTTGTAATTTTTAAATTCAAACTTGTTTTATAATTTTTAAATTCACACTTAATGTTCAGTTAGCTTAACTATGAAGTTATTTAAAATTTTAGTCATTTGTTTTTCAAAACATGCTTCAAAATTTATCTTTAAATACAAAAATAGTTATTTTTAGTTTTTGTTAATTTTCCTTGTTATAGGAAAATTAACAAAATCTAAAAACAACTATTTTATTAACTTTCCTTGTTATATACTTATTCTATTTCTATATTTTTGGTTTTAACTTGAATAATAAAACTAGAATTGTGTCTTTTCAAGAAACATTATATGACATGTTCCACGTTAAAATTACATTATACTCGCAACAACCTGGTTAAAAATTCTCTTATTAAAGTTTTAATTAAATTTTTGCAATTTTGTTTGAAAGATGTTTGACTAAAGACTAAATGAAAAAATTTTTAATTGACAATTATGTGCAAACTTTTGACTAAAGATTAAATGAAAAAATTTTTAATTGTGTAAATTTTTAATTAATTATGTGCAAAAACTTTTGAGAGAAAACGCTTTTTAACTTATGCTACGCAGAAAAACTAATTAAAAAAAAAAGAAAAACCAATTAAAAAAAAAAGAAAAACCAAGTAAAAAAAAAAGAAAAACCAAGTAAAAAAAAAAGAAAAACCAAGTAAAAAAAAAAGAAAAACCAATTAAAAAAAAAAGAAAAACCAAGTAAAAAAAAAAGAAAAACCAAGTAAAAAAAAAAGAAAAACCAAGTAAAAAAAAAAGAAAAACCAAGTAAAAAAAAAAGAAAAACCAAGCAAAAAAAAAAGAAAAACCAAGTAAAAAAAAAAGAAAAACCAAGTAAAAAAAAAAAGAAAAACCAAGTAAAAAAAAAAGAAAAACCAAGTAAAAAAAAAAGAAAAACCAAGTAAAAAAAAAAGAAAAACCAAGTAAAAAAAAAAAGAAAAACCAAGTAAAAAAAAAAAGAAAAACCAAGTAAAAAAAAAAGAAAAACCAAGTAAAAAAAAAAGAAAAACCAAGTAAAAAAAAAAGTTACCAACATCACTTACATTACAGTGCAATTATTAAGGAAGATTTCCTATAAAACAAGGTCATATCTCAATGAGCTCTCATATCTCTGCAACAAAAAATACACTTAAGCTGATTATTTACAGAAAACCGGTTTATTGCTTATAGCTGATAAAAAGTAGCCAAACTCATATTAGGCCATTAGTAAGTTCATTAAATTTATGTGTGGCTATTAAGCATCATGTTTTCAGCTGAAAAGGTTAGAAATTGTTTACATATCTTATTATTTATTGTCATATCCACCTTGACCTGTTCTTGCAGTTAATAACATTTTTTAATATAGAGTAATTCCATTTCAATTCATCGTTATGTCACCATATTTCTCAGATTTTACTGATTTTTATACAGTTGAGTACTTAGTAAAATAAGAATTCTTGAATATTATGAATATATTTAGCTTCTGGTTCCAAAAAGATCCTGAAAGATCACTTTACTTTTAACAGATCTTGGCCAGGCCCCTCTTGTCCCCTTAGAATTGTGACTATTGTTTAAAGGTTCCAAATCACATAGTTTTAAAAATATTTGATCTTTTTACTTAAAATTTTGTAACCGGCTATTTTCAGGGGTAAAGAATCCAATAAAACAATCAGAAATGTAAATAATTAATAATAAGTACCTGTAATTATCAATTTAAATAAATTTAGGCAATTTTTAATTATCCAAAATCAGGTATATTTTGATGCTCAAGAAACCCATGTGACCTTGATGATATCAAAAAATAAAATTTACACATCATTTTATATTCAATAAACTTTCAGAAAACATAAGGAAATTGATCTGCAAGTATGTGGATTTCCATATATTGATAACAGGGCACGAGCCCCACTTTTTTGTAGCAGAATCTTACAATACATTTTTCACT